AAGGATAGTTCACAGATGATGGTCTCAGGAAGAGCAAGCTCCTGGGTAACTTGGATATTTTTTAGATGTAAGGATTTTTTATAGAAGATAGCAACACCACCTCCTCGACGATTTTCACGATCTGATCGGTAAACATGATAGTCTCTTACTGTGGTAATGGAGTCGGGGAGAGATGCATTGAGCCATGTTTCACAGACAAATATAATGTCGAAGTTAGCCATATTTAGGAGGATGAGAAATTCAGGTATTTTATTCACGAGGCTTCTTGCATTGAGTAGTTTGCATTTAAGGCCGGCAGTAGTTGGAATTGAGGTAGTTGGGGGCATGCGTGCCTAATCTTGGGTGATGGTGGATCGGTTGAGGTAGGGTTGTGGTTGAGGGTAAAAGCTGAGTATTGGGTTGCGTGGCTTACTTTTGATACAGTCAGCATGGTAGTCAATGTACAGGTCCTTCTCTCCATTGTCTAGACGGTTTTTGAGTTCAATGCGGAGTACACGGGAGCGGGCACGTTGCTGTATGGTTAGGTCAGGGCGGCAACGGAGGTTCTTATGGTTGGTGTTGGTTTTGGCGAGTGAGTTTATAGTATAAATGAATTTACGTTTGCTTGATTCATTTTTGCAAATGACTCTGCACAGGCGTGGGGCCACTATCAGTAAGGAGGCCTTCTACCAACCAGATCTATCAAGCCACATGGAAGGTCTTCTGCTAGTGGTGTATCAAGAATAGGATTTCCCCCACTTTGGCCTCTGTGGCCAATATTCTGGATTTTTTACAAGAGGGTCTTGACAAGGGGATCTCAGCAAACACATTATGCAGACAGGTGGCCTCCCTTTCTTCAGTTTTGTACTTACATAGGAAGGGTTCCCTGTCTCAAAACCAAACCATTCGGAGGTTTCTGAAAGGGGCCACCAACCTTAGGCCTCCGGTGATTCATATATTCCCTACTTGGGATCTTCCTAAAATTTTAAGGGCTTTAATGACTGAACCATTTGAACTGCTTAGATACATTAATTTACACCTCCTGTCACTCAAGGTGGCTTTCCTTTTAGCCATCACGTCGGCTAGAAGGATCTCAGAGATGGCCGCCCTTTCAGTTATGGAGGATTTGTGTGTCTTCTATCTAGATAGAATTGTTTTACGGTTAGATCCGTCTTTCATCCCTAAAATTAACTCTAGGTTCCACAGGGCTCAGAAGCTCATTCTCCAAAATTTTTGTCCCAAGGTCCTTCCCGTATTTTGGAACGGGCATGGCACACTCTGGATGTACATAGAGCCTTAAAGATATACATCTGGAGGACACATCCTACCCGCAAGTCGGAGGCATTGTTTATGTCATTCCAACCGAGCACGTTAGGGTTAAAGGTGTCCCTTACGACTGTGGGTAGATGGATTCGGGCCTGCATTGCCAAGGCTTATCAGAGCAGGTCTTTTCTGGTGCCTTGAGTGACGGATCACTCTACTAAAAGTGCAGCAACTACGGCAGCATGGGCTACTCAAGCCCCCATTGAGGAGATCTGCAGAGCAGCCACATGGTCTTCACCATCTCCCTTCATTTGGCATTACCGCCTGGATGCCTTTGTATCAGCTGATGCAGCTTTTGGCAGAAGGGTTCTACAAAGTGTGCACGAGCACCAATGTGAATAGGACCAGACTCTTGCCCCTCCCTGGGACAGGCCGGCTTTTGTATGTTCCAATCTCTCTGGACTCTCGTAGCCACAGAAAACAAACATTGGATTACCTGAATATTCCTTTTCTTCGTAGAGAGTCCAGGCCCATCCTGGTTCATCTGGTCTGGGTGCGGGTTGGGGGAGCAATAATGTGTGTTCTTTTTATCTCGCAACTCCAGAATCATGTCGTCTTCCAAGTGCTTCGTTGAAAGCTGGGGCGTAGCCATGGCATAGGGCGGAGCTTCAGTTTTCGAGCAGACTCAGTCCACCAGAGCAGGACCTGACACTACCCGATCTATCTGGACTCTCTACGCCACAGAGGAAAAGGAACATTCAGGTACTCCAATGTTCATCAGCTTCTACACCCTCCAAAAACCATGCAAAAGCACGCACCATTCTCACACAATTTTCAAAGGCACTTGCATGGCTCTCTCATGTACCTTCTGGAGGGGCCAGAAGCCATGTGAGAAGACATCCCATTCTTGCGCAGCCTCTGCAGCCTCCAAAAATCACACAAGAACGGGGCATGCTTTTGAGAATAGTTGTTTGATGCTGGTGAATGCTGACATGTCACTGAAAATGCAGCTTCATCTGTGACGAATGTGTCACAGGTTCACCATCACCGTGTTAGAGCACAGAAACCCATTACACTAGAACATCACAATTTTACTTGAATATGCACTTTTCTTGCTCAGTCACATGGATACCGGTAATTAAAAACACAGCTGGTAGGTTACTTAAGTGGGGGCCAGATTCTTTTGTAGCTAATTTTAGGTAGGGGATGAAAAAGGAGTGACAAGAATGAGGGAAGGCACTAATCCCATCGTTCCATTACAAACAGGACAAATACATATATTATTTCTAACATTGCTGCTCTTAGAGGCAAATGGACTTAGCCTTGTTCCAGATTTTAAACATAAGTCTCCTGGCATGGAGAATTTTGTAGAACTGGCACTAGATTAGGACAGTGGAGATTCCCATCTTGGTCAGTTTGCCTTGGCAGCTTGTCATTAGTTCATGTCACTAGAAGTCATCTCCAGAAAAAATTATTGGCTAAATGACCCTCACTTCTTTGATTATCAAAATATTAGTCTCATGAGTTCTTCCTCAAAGAATGCCATTCCATCAATTGTAGAAATCCTTGGAGTTATTAGCTGTTCTCTCGCAATTAGTGGCATCACAAGGCTACAGGAGCATCTACCAGACTTGAACATGGCTAGAGCCAGGGCCTGTTTGCCTGCCACATAATTTTTTTTAAATCTTCCTGACTCAATTCGTCTGGGATCAAAGTGCTATATGTAGTACTCCAAGAAATACTGGGGTTACCCAGAATTGGAAAGTGGGCCAATGGAAAATGGATTGAGCTCTTTTAAGACTCCATCCTTCCATCAATAACTTTCCCTTCTCCTTGATGATAAAAGCCTGACTTTATACTCAAGGAATTATGCCAAGCATCCTCGGAGTCATTGTTTTTTTCTTCACAAATAACGTTAACTACTGAAGAGATTGAAATAAAAAGCCATTCTCTCTTGGATCTCTTCAAGATGGTGGCCACCATGACCTTTACCGTGCATCGGGTTCCTTGAATGGCTAGGGCATCAGAACATTGAGGGCATCGTGGGGTCCAAGGGGACAAACATAAGCCTGAACTACTACAGAAGTCTGGATGCCTCCCCTGATGTGGTGTCATAAGAAATGTTCCAGTTTCCTTCAATCTCTGAGTTCCTTGATTCCCAGAGACTTGATTCCTGTGAATCCCATTGCTCTCAGAAACCTAACATCCTATCTATTGTGCACCTGTGAAAAAAGGGCCTTTTGGGCAAGTAGGAGAGCAATCTGGGTCCATCAAGCCCTTGCTTCTCTTAAAGGGCCATGTCCAAGAATGCAAGCCCAATCACCAGCTTTCCTTGATGTGTCCAGGGAGAGTGTAGAACTTTCTTGATTACAGGCATCAGAGAGAAGAAAGTTCAAAGTTATGTCAAAAGTTTTTCTATGAATTTGCTTGTGGGCAGAGACAGGATAACAAGAACTGGCAAGCTGACTTTGTCATAAGTGATCCCGTCTGGCTTCGCAGCGAGAGGAATAATTCCCTTTAAGAATGTCCTTGAGCCAACAGCAGAACTTCCATGTACGACAAAGGAAAAAGCTCTGCTGTATATTGCTCACCTCTTTTGAAGGAAGATTAGAAGACATTTTACAAATGGAAAGACAAAAACACATTTCTACGTCTCCATAAACTGAAAATGTGGAGAAATATTAAGAAACAGTGATATATTTATAGCATTTTATTTTTAATGGAAAAATAAAGACAATGCTTTAAAAATTAATATTTGCTTAGAAACATGTTCCTTCATGTAAATTATGCAAAGTAATAAAAAGTATTTTACATAAATACTACTGCATGGGGGTGGGGGAGGGAGCAGCTGACCTGTTGTCCTGGGTAGGATTCTAGTCTCAATATAAACCTGAGTATTTTAGTCACAATCTGCCATCTAGTATAATGGGAGGCTGTTTTTTTTTTGTCTGTCTCTTGTTCACTACTACTATGGAATTTTAAACTAGCTGACAACACTTAGTTTTTCAAAATAGTTTTTTTTAACAAGTTTAGCAAAATATATATTATGGTTCCATCATGTTCTACATCAACGATCCATAACCTGGAGAATAATTACAACTTATCACTAGAAACTGACAGCATCATTCTGCAACAATATATTTCCCAGTACCTTGTCCTTTTCTGAATATGGCACTATGATTTTATTTGAAGCAATGGAAAAAATATAATTGTCACTAAATGATCGGATTACAACTTAAGCAAAGATGAGTTTGGAGCATATCATGAACAGTTGCCAAAGCAATTGAACTGCAGGAGATACATCTGCTGGAAAAAGGAGTTTGTTTTCATTCACATTTCACATTTGTCTTGGAGGTTATAACAGAAGTGCCTGACGTTTTTTTACCTTTCGTGTGACCATTGGTTCAAACTTTTACGTAAATTAATATATGTAATCAGAATGACTGACTGTATGCAACTGATTCTAAAAGTCTTATTTCTTAGGAAGTTGAAGAAATATCAAGACTTATAATTACTCTAGTGAAAAAATCAACTTTGAAATAACATCATTATATTTAAATAATCACATAAAATATTCCATGTTAATGCTATGATATATCCCGGAGAGGCCTTTTCTGTTGCTATGATTAAACATATGTTAGAACGATTATACTAGAGAAATGTATTTCTACATGCACTCTTCAAAGTAACAAGTGAGAGAATGTAAAATTGTTATGTGTCAACTTTACATAAGTTTTTATAAAACAGAAAAATACTAGTACACACTAGAAGACAAGGTTTAATAAGAGATAAAAATGTACAAAAATATTCAAATCAGAAAGATTTTAGTCTGTACCACAGTAGTCAATACTCCTGAATGAATAGATAGTACTTCATCAAATCAACGTCAGATAGAAGTTATTTAGTACAAAGGAAGAGAACAGAACAAAAGGAAAACAAGTTTTAAACATCAGATCAACATATCTTAAATGAAAAATATTACATCAACATTGATTTTCTAAACAAGAGTATTGCAACTGCTTTTCAAAATTTGGTGGTACATTCTTCGGAAAGTCCTTAAGGCAACATATTGTAATTAATTTACAGTCTGATTTTGTGATTTGCTGAAACAACGCCCTCTACCAATTTTATTTTTAAATATTCCAGATTTTTCTTCTCTAATAAAAGTAATAGCTATGATATTTCATAAGTATATTTTACCAAATTTATAATTAAGGGCCTAATAGGATTTCCATCAATCGTCTAGTTTTCACAGTTTTAAAACTTAACACTAAAAATTAAGCTCTGAGTAAAAACTCTTGTATACATTTCAACCTACGGTCAGTGTTCAATAGAAATCACCATCATCAATTTGGCCAGAAAGGTAACTCTCAAAAACCTAACACCGGTTCCTGGATTACCATAAATCAAAACAAGAAAAAAAGCATCTTCCCTCTTCCTTTCCTCTTTGAAAAGTAGTAACAACCCAACCCAATTGGAACTGCAAGAAAATTACCGAGCTTCTTGGACCTTCTTTGACAAGGAAAAGAAGTTAATGACTTTCGAGTGTGAGCCATTTTAGAGATGAGAGGCCTGAAAGGCTTAAATACTTTTCCAAGCCACTATTTTAAAGGGTTTTTATTTTATTTTAAAAAAAGCTTTTCTGCTCATCCTAATGTGCTGTCTGAAGAATGGAAAGGTACATGGGGGGGATATATACAGGCTATCTAGATGATAAGAAATAGGACTTCAGGTTGAATCCTGAATGTTCACCGTCTTTGCCAAACTGCTACCTGTGTCAATATTTAGTTACGCAAGAGAACCGAAGAGCCACAATTATGCCACTGTAACTCAGAACATTGGAATCCATTTCCTGAAATTAGTCATCTATATCTTTATTAAATCAAATTTGTAAACATATTTGGTATAAATATTTCTTATTGATCTTCATCCAGTTGTTCCAAGAGGGTCCTCCTTTGTTTTTCAAGCTCACCTTCACTGAATTCACTACCAGAGGTATCCCAATTACCCTGCAAACAGATAATGACAAATGTTTGGTTCACCTTTGAATATAGTCAGGGATTCAATTCCTTTAGATCAGGGACCAGCTGCTTTTCTTGCCCAGCCCACCCTGTAACCCCCATCTTCCCGGACTGATTTTATGGGACGGCACCTCTTATGCTCCACACAAATTCCATATTAAGAAATGCAATTTGGCTACCAGCAGGTAATACAGATTTCATACTGGTTTGATGATGAAAAAAACAGATCCACTGTAAAATTATTTCTCTAAAATTCTGTGCTAAACTAAACATATTTTCCTGTTATGCAAATGGAAAGTGTGAAGGGGTTATCTGGGTACAACCAGAACTTAAGAAGCTATTTTAAGGCTGTGTCTAACACTGTTGAGTAGTCTAATGCTATTTTCCTACTCATCTTCAAATGCACCTACCCAAATTGGCACTCAAAATACCTATCACTGTGATAACATTAATAGAAGAATCAATTCCATTAAGCAGACTCATATTGACGGACAACTGATTCATTCAATCCAAAAGTTTTTCTTTAAAAAATTAATGATATTCCTTGGCAATATTCCTTCCTCCCCAAGGTATTCCTTCCTCCCCAAGGCAAATCACAAAGTATTTTTGCAAATAATCCATCCAGGAACATTACTGGCATAATAGCACTAAACTGTTATGTTCTCTCAGATGAAGATTTATTGACCCTTTAACTATTATTAAATATCCATTTTTAATATTTAAAAAACAACTTGCTTAAGATTCTCATTTAGTCATCTAAGACAAGTGTATCTAGTTTTTCAACACTTCACAGCCAGATGAAACAGATCAAGTGATCTTTGAATCCTCAATCCAAGACTTAAGAAAAATTAGAATTATCAATTGGGAAAAAATGGTAATTGGAACTATCAATTTAAAACTATCGACCCTTCAGATAAACTCCTATTTATGTATTAATTGGGACTAATTCTCGTTGGCTATCTAGATCAACTTGAAGATCAGCTGGGTACTTTCACCTAACCAGGTTCTGCCAGCATTATTTATTTAAAAAAAAATTTTTTTTTTGCACAAATAACTTTCACACTGCAAACTATCCTTCCCATATCCCCAACTAATACTCTAAGTTAACTTTACAAAGGCATTCATGTATTCAAGTAAACATTGTTTCTGATAATTACATATCCAATAGCCTAAGTAAAACTTCCTGAGGTCATGTCCTGTTTTCATCTAGGTCATCTGTAATCTTAATTTTCTTTCGTTATTTTCAAGTGCCATTCTACATGTCAAAAATATATTAATTAGAAGGATATAATAAACATTTGTACTATTATTCAGATGAATAATATGTGTCACTTAATATGTGTTGACATAAAAGATGTTACAGGAATTTCATTTTTTGGCAAATGCCTGTATAAACTAACTTTATCTACTCCTCCTCTCCGATCTGAACAGATTTAATTGAGTCTCTAAATACTCACAGTTCCAACATACTGAATTAGATATTCTGAGATCTTTCAAAAATTGCATTTCATAAAAGGTATGTGCAAACTTTACTTCTTTTTGTTCTCATGCCCCACCCACATCCATACCATACCACACCAAATGCAATATAACTGGTCTTACCCGAATCTGATCTGCTTCTTCTGAAGTTTCTTGTAATCGAACACTGTTGGTTGCAGGATTGTGCTGGGAAGAAAACACGCCAGAATGACCTTCCTTATGCAAATTGCACTTTATCCAGCCCATCAAAAAGGGTGATGATGATGTGTTTTAGGGATTTTGAAGAGGATCTGCTACCAGTCTTTTAAACACTTATTTGGCAGATTGTGTTGAGAATAATTTGCATGCAGGGATCAGCAAGCAGGCTGGTTGCTCCAAACCTTCTCCCCAGCATCATTCATATATTTTCTCCAACTTGCTAGAAATAAAACTCTCTCTCTCACTGTGTATGTGTGTGTGCGCGCGCGTGTGTGCACACGATCATACTCTGAGCAAGGCACATGCAGCAAGCCACATCAAAGACTGTCAAAGATTGTTATGTGCTCCATGGGATGCTCAGGTGTGATCAAAGTAAACTGTGGATGTGGAATGGAAATAGACAGAATTCCAGAAACCATGTATAATTCAGAAATGTTGCAGTTATTAATATACTGAACTTGGTAAGATAAAACAAACTTACAGAATCTTTGTTAGGTCTCTTCTTAGGTGGCGATTTATGCTTAGATTCAGATCTTTGTCTACTTCTTTCTTTTTCATTTTCTCTCTCTTTTTTGTCTCTTTCTCGATCCACATCCGATTCCGGAGAATCCTGTCCAAAATAAAATGAAGAATATAAATCAAAAGAAGCAATAAATTGCAATCCAGTATACCACCCCGAGATTTTTCTAAAATGTGAACTCTTCGGCAATGTACTCTGTCTACCTAATTTTCTTGTGCTCCAAACTAATGCTGTAAAACTGTGTTGGGTTAAACCTTCCAACTTCCACTAATTCTTCAGAATTACATAAAACCCTGAAGTTTATCTTAACAGTAGATACCAAGTCAAGCCAACTAGAGTACAAATTTTGGCTTTCCCCCTTTGCTCAATAATCTGACATATCAAGCACTGGCACACTGACATTCTAGTTCACAAAAGGAGGAGAAAAATAAAAGGCAAGGCTTGAAGTTGGCCAACCAACTTCCACGGCCCGGTTCCAGTTAACCTAAATATGCAACAGCATTGTTGCAAACAGGCCTACAAGACTGAATTGAATTCTCATTTAAGTTCTCATTTAAAAACAAACCCTAATCCTTGGTTACAGTATAATCTATCAGTATTAGGCCGCCTGTCTCTGTCACCCCATCAGAATGAACAGAGTTGGCATATTCCAGATCCTGTCATCCGTTCTCTCTTACTGTGCCTGCCCTATGGGATGATCTTGGCCCTGGCTGCCTTTCCTAAGGCTTTAAAGACTTAAATATTTGCACAGGAAGTTGAATCAAGAAGTTACACGTGCTTGTTTGAATGCTTTGTAATTTCTTTTAGTCACTAAAGCACTAATGGTTTTTCTAACCCAGGCACATGATACATTCATGTTTTTAAAGTATTGGTTTACTAGTCATGTTATGACTTTTTTGGTTTTAATCTTTGCATGCTACTTAGCACCACCACAGGGAGTTATATAAATTGCATGTATAAATACATACATTTGCTGATCAGACTAACTAGCTGTGAGACAGATGCATAACCGTTATTTACAACTTAAAAGATTGTAAGATACTGAAAATCCGTGTTGTAACCGAAAGATGCAAAACAGAAATACTCACAGACTTGTGTCTCCTCTTTTTGCTTTTCTTTTTGTGTTTCTTTGACTTCTTGTAGCTTCTCTCTATTAATGCAAAACAAATTAGGAAATGAAAGGGAAATCAGGCTGTTGAAATTTAGCACTACTTTTGTTTTTTTCCCTAGAGAAGATTTAGAGAAAAAAATATATATACCAGATTCTGCACTGGAGGAGCGTTCAGAAACTGAGCGTGAGTCTGAGCGTTGCCTCTTTTTCTTTGAATGGCTATCATCATCTTCGGATTCTGAGCCCTTTTAAAGAAATAAAAAAGCCTGCTTAACATACCAGAGCTTTTAAAGATAACTTTTGAGATGAGTTCCCTGCAGCATGCTATCAAAGGCCTTACCGAACGAGAGCGAGACCTCTTTCTATGATGCTTCTTTGATTTTTTAGAGTGCTTCTTGTTCTTTGAATGATGATGCTGACACTCATGCTGCAATATCAAAAGAATCAGAATTATTGCTTTAAAAAGCAGTACCTAGTAATCAAAGTGCTGCTTTCTTACAGTACATGCCTAAATCACATAGAGGCAGTAACGGAAGCTTTTGGAGACCTCCCTTATGGTCTTATTTCAGTCTTGCATTCCTCACCCCTACCCCCCCCCCCAAAAAAAAAAGTCTCAGCAAATCTACTAGGAGAGAGACTGAAGAACAACTACTTTGCTTGAACAAATTTCAGCACTACCATATTGCCACAGCCTGCCAGGACCCTTTCCTCAGCAATCTTTGCAGGATGAGGATTAAATCTAGCTGGTTTCTTCTTACAATTTGAGGGGAATGAAGGTGTGTGTGGGGGTGGGGTGGGGGTGGGGTGGGGGCGGAGAAGTGATTGTGTACAACCATAAATTACCAAGAGCAATTTCTGAGATAGTTGTGCCTGTGCAGAAAAAGACACAGCAGTTTTAATGGCTGAAGAACAGGTGTGCCAAGTGAATTCTGAAGCAATTTTTTCCAAGAATTTGCACAACCCCAGTGGCTCATAAAGATCAATAATCAGTAGTGTGCTCAAACTGGCATACCGTGTTTCTCATATAATAAGGCTGGGTCTTATTTTTTTTTTGAGCCCCGAAAAAATGGCTAGGCCGTCTTTTCGGGGCTGACTTAATTCCCCCCCTTGCATCTTTGGGCGGGCGGCGATGGCTTGGATGTTGACCTCGGCGTTGGTGGGGCACTTTGTATCGGGGTCAACGCAGGCAGCACCATATCCGGGTGTGCAACAAAAGTACTTCCTAACGGCAAGCCCTCCCACCATTCCCCCCCATTTCGCATGGTTTAATATAGGCCTTAATTTGGGGGGAGGGGCTTAATTTCATTTCATGCCTATAAAACGTGCTGGGACTTCCTATTGGGGGAGGCCGTATTGTTGGAGAAACAGGGTATATCCCTAGGGTTTAAAATGACCCCAGTCACTATATGGTGCATGATGATGTTATTGTAAAAAAATATAAAGTACTATCAAAATGTTAGGGAAAAATCATACATGAGAATAAAGGACTGGGAAATTCTTAAGAAATATTCTATGGTTTCCTGACACCATGAAGCAACACATTGGCTGCAATTGGCAGGCCCATCTTTTTCTTCCCTTTATCCCCCACATTTTTCTGGATGTGTACCACAGCTGCCCTTTGAAGATCTTTCTCACATCTACCGGTTTCAGCTGTGTCAACATAGCTATAATACCCTTCAGTGAACATTAAAGTAACTATTCTTTGAGAATCTGTACAAATCTATTAGAAAATATTGTGTTTAACTGGTATGTCAGACATTACCTCCAGTAAATAAATGAAATCCTTAAATATTCGTTTTCTCTCCGATTCTAAAGTGATGTCTTCAAATGCTGGCTCTTTTACAAATCTCTCTCGAATCTATATCAAAAAGGAATTATAAGGTAATCATAGATTTTTTGCAGTTAGTGATTTCTTATTACTGTAACTGTATCGTACACAAGGATTCCTTGGTGAAAATGGAAGCATGAAATCATTTGTATGACATTAATTCAGGTTAAGAATTTAGACAGCAATTCATAAAGTAGTATTAATATTACATCAGCAACAAAATTTTGTTTCCAGCAATAGCAGTAACAATATTATTCTATGAATATTGAACCTAAGACTATAAAAAAATCTTTCGAAACACACCTGTCACCCTTTTATATAAGAACTCCACTGAGAATTTCTCCATTTCATTATTGTTGCTCTGAATTATTCCTTAAAATACACTGCTCAAAAAAATAAAGGGAACACTTAAACAACACAATGTAACTCCAAGCCAATCACACTTCTGTGAAATCAAACTGTCCACTTTGGTAGCAACACTGATTGACAATCAATTTCACATGCTGTTGTACAAATGGAATAGACAACAGGTGGAAAGCATAGGCAGTTAGCAAGACATCCCCAATAAAGGAGTGGTTCTGCAGGTGGTGACCACAGACCACTTCTCAGTTCCTATGCTTTCTGGCTGATGGTTTGGTCACTTTTGAATGCTGGTGGTGCTTTCACTCTAGTGGTAGCATGAGACGGAGTCTACAACCCACACAAGTGGCTCAGTAGTGCAGCTCATCCAGGATGGCACATCAATGCGAGCTGTGGCAAGAAGGTTTGCTGTGTCTGTCAGCATAGTGTCCAGAGCATGGAGGTGCTACCTGGAGACAAGCCAATACATCAGGAGACGTGGAAGAGGCCGTAGGAGGGCAACAACCCAGCATCAGGACCGCTACCTCCGCCTTTGTGCAAGGAGGGACAGGAGGAGCACTGCCAGAGTCCTGCAAAATGACCTCCAGCGGGCCACAAATGTGCATGTGGCTGCTCAAACGGTCAGAAACAGACTCCATGAGGGTGGTATGAGGGCCACTGGTGCCCTGTGCTCTTCACAGATGAAAGCAGGTTCACACTGAGCACATGTGACAGACGTGACAGGGTGTGGAGACGCTGTGGAGAACATTCTGCTGCCTGCAACATCCTCCAGCATGACCGGTTTGGCAGTGGGTCGGTAATGGTGTGGGGTGGCATTTCTTTAGGGGGCCGCACAGCCCTCCATGTGCTCGCCAGAGGTAGCCTGACTGCCATTAGGTACCGAGATGAGATCCTCAGACCCCTTGTGAGACCATATGCTGGTGCGGTTGGCCCTGGGTTCCTCCTAATGCAAGACAAAGGCATTGATGCTATGGACTGGCCCGCCTGTTCCCCAGACCTGAATCCAATTGAGCACATCTGGGACATCATGTCTCACTCCATCCACCAACGTCACGTTGCACCACAGAGTGTCCAGGAGTTGGGGGATGCTTTAGTCCAGGCGCGGGAGGAGATCCCTCAGGAGACCATCCACCACCTCATCAGGAGCATGCCCAGGCGTTGTAGGGAGGTCATACAGGCACATGGAGGCCACACACACTACTGAGCCTCATTTTGACTTGTTTTAAGGACATTACATCAAAGTTGGATCAGCCTATAGTGTTTTTTTCCACTTTACTTTTGAGTGTAACTCCAAATCCAGACCTCCATGGGTTGCTAAATTTGATTTCCATTGATAATTTTTGTGTGATTTTGTTGTCAGCACATTCAACTATGTAATGAACAAAGTATTTAAT